TATCTATCTATCTATCTATCTATCTATCTATCTATCTATCTATCTATCTATCTATCTATCTATCTATCTATCTATCTATCTATCTATCTATCTATCTAGGAGGAAAAAGAAAGCTCCAACGATTCGTCCACAGCTTTCATTCCCCCCACAGAGCCAAAGGACAACACCAATAATGAGGTGACATCTGAGGTTTGTGTTCTTTTTTCTCATTCTGTTTTCTGTTTTCTTGAATTTGGTGTTCTTGGGTGATGTGGCTTGATCACATGGAGATTAATGTGTTACTGTTAAAAATAAGTCCTTCTAGTGCACAGAGGATATTGCGGGTCTTTTATGCATGTTTATGTGGCGTCTCAACATGCTTCAGGCAAGCGTGGACACAAGGTGGGACTGTGGAGAAATTGTCAAATCGTGCACTTTGATCGGGTATGTTAATCATCCGATCTGTAACTGGCAGTTACATCCTAACTAGGCTGCTGCAGTTGCTTTCTGAATTGGGTTTATAATGCCGGATTTGTGTGTAGTTGCTCAAACAGATCTGGTTTTCTGTTTGCTGGCTGCTCATCAGAGCTTTTTAGACAAGATTAAAAATTAAGAGCTAATCTTTCACAGTTAGAGACACAGAGATTATAACAAATGTTGATAATGTGGGTGCAGCTGATAGGCTGTTGTGAATCACTTATCAAAACAGCCAATCTTGTGTGTCGCTGTTATTGATCAGGGCGAAACAGAAATCACCTCAAACTAACACACTGTTAAGCTGGACGGTAACAATAACATCATTTGGATTGTTGCCATTCTGTGTAAATTTACACACTGAACTTTCAAAGCCTGAACTTGGCTGCGAAAGAGTCAGTGTGACAGCCATGGAAAACATTCAGTAACACATTCACAGAATACATGTAATAAAATACATGTATGCAATCATGGGAAATGGAGTTTATACATTTTTAAGGTGTTTTAATGATTATATAGGAGGATTCAGTAAATGAATGAAACCAAAGGTGCAGTCATACGTGCATCAGTTGAAACCCAAGTGTGTATTGATGAAGTTCGCTAGTGGGTGTGTGTGTTTAATGCTCATCTGTTGAAACCACACCAGGAACCTAATGCAGAACTTGTGCTTGTAATGAAAATGAATTTTAATTATTTACTGTTTTTTCTCGCTTGCCGTTAAAACCTCATGGTTCTCACTGCATTTGTATTTCCTGCAGCTGTTCCAGCCGTACAAACAGAACTGGTTCTTAGGTTTAATTAACAGTCGGGTGCCATTAAGAAAATGAATGAGGTGTCTTGCTATAGACAGTTTTCTTTATCAACATGCTGCTCATTAAAGTGGGTAATTACACTTTGTAAATGCACTCCAAAACACGCTATACATGTGTCAGGATCAATGGCCACGAGTCCTCGTTTATTTTCAGTAATACGACATACAGCAGATACATGTGCATGGCTGACTTACGAGACAAATATTTTAGTGTTTTTTTGTTTTGTTTTTTTTATGCTTTTTGTGCAGCATTTTATGAATATCTTAACATACAGGATCCGGCTGCTAGCTGTAGCTAAATACCTATTAATCAAAGGATGCTTTGCTTGAACTGAAACACACACACTCCTGCTATTATCTCTAGTTTTATGGACACCGCAAGTCAAACAGCGGTTGATGCGAAAGACCTCGGGGTTTCTACTCCCTGGGATGCATCATGTCCTAAAGCGAAAAGAAAACTAGCTGTCCAGCATCCCTCCATGTGCTGCAGCTGTCTAATCAGTCATTAAGAACATCGTCTACCCAGCGTCTGTGCTCACCGCCAGCTTCAGCCCGTCTCCATCTGACCTCATGGATGTTCCCATCGCGCATGAAGTGGTCGGCTCTTCTGTGTTTCCTGCTGTGAAAACCAAACATCAACTGGCAGTTGTTGCTGCTCACTAGGACTCTCACAGGAATCAGTACTGTTCTAATTGTATTGTAGGTACTGAAGATGTTGTGGATTAGGGCTGCGAGACAGATTTTGTTTTCCCGTGATACATATTGTGATTTTCAAAATAAAACTTAAACTAATCCTCTCCTGAATTAAGTGCATAATCTCCAAACAAAATATAAAATAAATTAAACCAAAGCCAAATTGTTTACCATCTATCTATCAATAGCCACTACAATTTACAGATGCTCCACGAACGCCTCGCATGCATACAGTAGGCAGCTGTGCTCAGAGAAGCTCAAACAGCTGTGAGAACAAAAATATATTTAAAAATAGTGGGAAAAACAATGTTGTAATGTCACAATTACCCAAGCTGAAACCAGGTGATTTTATCTACATGGGCTTTTTTCTATTAGCAGTTTTCTATGAGCTGTTCATGTTCATTAAGTTTAATTCAATTAAATTCATTGAATTAAGCAGTTGGACACAGAACGGTAGGAACAACTGTACAATAGGATAAAATTAAATTAGAAATAGAATATACTGAGATAAAGAATAAAAAGTGAAATTTCCTATTACCATTACCGTACATAAGGTGATCAAACAGTGAAGAGGGGCAAGGGGACTGTACATGAAATTAGCAGCACATACTGATTAATATTCGATTAATTGTGCAGCCCTACAGCTGACGTTGCGTTTCTTTAGTGCAATCAAGCCTTCTTTTCCCGTGTTTTCTCTCCTGTTCTCTACTTATTTTGATGCGCACACACTTGTCAACACTCTGTGTCTTGTAATTAAAAAAAAAAGTGGCTCCTTTCATCCAAGAAGCCTTAAATCAGGGTAAATGATTTTCTCTCAGACAGACTTCTTTTGTAGATTAGTCATGGAAAATGAAAAAAGCATATGAGTTTTCTTTTTGTATCAAACCAAACAAAAAGAACGGTGGCAACGTGATGTGTGTGAGTTCATTTGCCACGCTTCATGATATGACTACTGTGCAGGCGCAAATCACAGCATCGATGCTGAGCGGTGTGTCAGGCAGCGCTACTGTACTGTGCTGAAGGCACTGGGTGTTTTTTTATTTTATTTATTTAGTTATTTAAGTCACAGTGCACTTAAAATGAAAGGAGGATAGCCGGTAACATGACATAACGACATAACTCTACAGTAGCCAGATGTGCCGAAAAGCGATCGTATGATTGTAGCTCACACAGCTTGGTAAAGCACCTTAATATATTATCATTTGTGCTGTAGTCTTTATAACAGGAAGGAATCCAAATGTTTTGGATTGTTGGGTGTTTCTGTCTCTGCCTTTGTTAAGCGCTATTAGATGACTTGTTGTAGATATGCGCTATACAAATAAAATTGAATTGAATTGAATTGAATTGAACATAACGCTCACCAAATGCAATCAAATTACTCTGATGCATTTATACCATCTTGGTCACTTTTCGACAATTACAAGGCTGCATTATGAGTTAAACTGGTCAGTACAGAGCAGGTAAAATAACACATCTTATATATAAAACCTAAACATAAATCAAGTTTATCATAATTGAGTTTCCAAATAGGAATATCAGATGCACTCAGCCTAAACATCATGTCTGATTATACTATAAACGTCAAACATGTATTCATTATTCGATCACAGTAGACATAGTTATGTGTATTTGTGTGTTATGACTGTCTGACCAGATGAAAGCAGCTGTAGATGTATATAAATTGGCCAGTATGTGCCCCTTGGAGACAGCAATCAGTCTTTGGCAACGATCACTTTTTGGCACAGCACCAGCATCCACCTCAAGGACACAGCAGGCTCAGGCCAAGAAACCTCTACATCCAACTCCTCACCAGTCCTTGTGGTGGGCAGCTCTATGGTTTGATATATCCTACTGAAAGCAGCTCAAGCTTTATGCTATCCTAATTCTTGAATTTTGGATAGTTTCTCTATATGACCACCAGTGCATCAGCTGCTGTTCTGCACCCTGGATCAAATGATATTTAAAAAGAAATCAACACTGTTCTGGACTCAGCTTTGTATCTACAAAGCATCAGCATCCCTCAAGAAAGTTTTACTGTCTAAGCTGCCAAGATATTCAGCATCCTCAGCTGAATTTAGTGTTAGCAACCACAACACCAAATCACAGGATGAATTGGCTTTAATAATGCTAAAATCTGAACAGGGGGAGACAAGCCCGATTGAAGCCACACATTCATCTGGAAGACTTTACTACTCTCTAGTATTATTTGTGTCTGAATTAATGTGGCCATCTGTGTGTGTGTGATATTTGGAGTGAGTGATTTTAATTGTCATTTTATGTAATATAATGGATTCCTCCTTCTCTCTTGCAAAAGAGATCTTAATGTCAGGAAGATTTCTAGAGGGAAAAAAAATCCTTAACTAACTAACCAACTAGCTTCCCTCTCTATGTTCTCTCTTGCATCATACCAAGAATCATTTTGCCTGTCTAATCTATTCCTGCAATCTTCCGCAGACAGATTACTCCGGTGACGGCGATTATGTCTTATTATTATTATTATTTTCTTTTAACTGACATGTCAAATGTTTTTTTGTGCGCAAAGGCCTTTTGAAGTACAAATGAAGTGTGTTGCTCAGTATAAAGTGATTGCTTTAATATTTTGAGAGCTGGGTTTTAGAAAACGGTAGCGCTAGATAAGTCTTTGTTGTGGTGGATTTGTTTTAAATCAAATCCCCGATCAGCCCAACTGCGTGCATCAACACCAGGTAGAACTGGCTATAAAACTTCCTGACTAAACTCTCTTGGTTTTGCTACAGGCTGCAACAAACCTCAACCCAGTTGCCACGGCGGCCTCCAACGCCGCCATGGCCAAGATGAGCTCCGCCTCGAGGTGGTCCAAGATAAAGATTGTCACGAAGCAGGCCGGGGACGAATGCATCACAGCTATAGAGATTGTCCCGCCTGTAGAGGGAGCCGAGACGCACTCGATCCCCATCAGCCGCCCGAGGACTGTGGCGAGAAAGTTCGCGAGCATCGCAAGGAGCCAAGTGAAGAGGAAAAGACAGATGGCTGCCAGAGAAAAGAAAGTATGTTATTACGCTGCAGACACATGAGGTGTGAATGTGATGTGGGCTGATGGATGGGTCAACAGTAACTGACAAGATTGCTTACGTCATAACCTTTAATCAGTTCCAGTTTTATATTGGAAATTTAATATACTGCTCATTTAAAATGTCGGGATAATTAGAAATAATACAGCTGATTTCAGGGTCCCTTAAATGTATGACAAAAAACAGGCAGGAGAGTCAGGCAAATAATAAGCATGGAAATGGTTGGCATGAATGGACAAGCAAACATTTAATCCTCTTTTAAACAGTGCCTACAGATAAATTTGACATATTTAAACACAGCCAGGAGGAAAATTAGCTTTTTCAATCATTTATTTAACAAAAATGTGAGCAGATAAAATATTCTTCTGAAGAAAAAGTAAGCACACCTTCAGCATCAGAAGATAGAATTGTAACCTTTAGTAGAAATAACTTCCTGTTGGTGTTCAGTTGAGGGTTTTCTTTCATGTTCTGCCTGTTTCAGAATGTTAATTTTCTATATTATTTGTCTGAATATTAACAGACACGTTCTCAAACAGGTTTTTTTTCTGTTTAAATACCTTAAAAAAGCCTATCATTTTCCATGTACTCACCTTTTCACATGACTGTACACAATGATGCATCTCCTCCGGTTAAAGAGCAATATAATTTATCACGACAACAAGCGAAGCTACTGTTTTTGCATGGCAGCATATGTTGCTGGTGTGCATGTGGGACCGTGCCCACCCAGTTCACCAGCGTGTGAATGTATGGAGCAGCTGTTCAAAGATGAGCCGCCGTTGTGCTACAGTCACTTCACTTAATTATTGCTCCGAATGACAGATGGCATTTAAAAACATCCCTTTGAGTTTTTTAAATGACAGAGCAGGCATCCTAAACCAACTTTTACTCATCAGGCTCTTTTCAAAATGTCCTCCCAGTGCACTGAGGCTGTTTTGCAAGTCACCACAGATTACACTTAGGAACTGAAAACATCAGCAGTGAGGGAGGAAATGTGGGATTGATCTACTGAATACTAAGATAAATCCTTTTACAGAATCTAGGAACAGTCTTTCTGATGGAAACAGTGAAGCAGCACTGACTTTAAACATTCTCAGTTAATTAGAAGTCAACCAATCAGCCGTGGATGCCACAAGTGCCCAGTTTTCTGTCAAAACTATTACCTTTGAACAAGATTCAAATATATTAATTAACCAGAGCCTTGTTTTCCAATTAATCGTCTTAATGATAAATGTTTGTGGTGCTGAGAAATGACTTAATGTGCTTAAATGTCCAAAAGTCAAATCACACTGAGAAAATGTTTCGATTAAAATGTTACATAATTTAATCAGTAGTTCAAGCGGTTCACCTTTGACTGGAAGCCAGTTAAAAAGAAGACAAGTTTAATTGCTGCTTTAGAAAGCAGATGTTTTCATTGGGTTGCAGTAGTTTTTATAATTTGTATCAGTGTAGCAGAAGGAGCTGCTTCTACATTTGTCCATCATCGCGCTGTTCACTGATCACTGTTGCAGCTGAGGATAAACATTTAGAGATTCAGTTAAATTAACGAACACTTTCTGGAGTAAACCCTGTAGTTTGGGCTGAGAAAAATCTGGGCTGTTGTGCACTCAGGAAACAAACTAGGCAAAAGGAAATTCCGACCAGTATTAGTACAGAGTAGTGCACAAAGTATACAACATGAGAACAGCACTATGCATTGTCACAGAAATGTCAAATGAGTCCAAATTGTAATTGCAGAATTCCAAAACTAGTTGCATATCCTCAAAGTTGAACAATGGGAAGCTGAATAAAAATACAGGCCCCACAGTAGGAAGTCAATGCAACAGAATGCAGTAATTTTTTTCTTAGCATGGATGATATCAGCAGTTCTTTTCTAGAGGGGTTGTGTTGCTCTGCCTTTCTCTGTAAGATACCCCAAAGACGTTCAATTGGATTCAAGTCAAGTGACATTATTCAGGTCATAGTTTCCATTTTTTTTCTTTAGAAACTTTTTTGTGATTTTGGCAGTGTCCTCTGGATTGTTCTCATGCTGGAATATTCCTCTTATTTAAGCTTCTGCAGACTGGGAGTCATCTTGTCAGCCTGTATTATGGTCCCTACACAGATTCATTCATGGTGTCGTCTATAAATGTCATCTCATCAACACCTTTCGCCCTCAGGCTGCATCTTGTCATCACACTCTCACCTCTGAGCTTCACTGTCAGGACTATGAATTCACTGTGGTAGTTCTGACGAGGTTCATGCCAAATGCTGAGGCTGATCTGAGCCTAACAAATTTATCTTGGTCTCATCTGACCAAAGCGTTTGCTCCCAACATTCAGAAGGCTTCTTTTTGTGTTATTTTAAAGTTTCATCTTGCAGTTTTGCGCTGAAGAGCAATTATTGTTTTTTTTTCTTAGACATGTCCACTGAGGTTGACATTGCAGTGTCCCTCACACTGTCTAAGTTGTCACAGAAACTCTGATTTCCACTGAGAACTGCTGTACCAAGTCTGAAGTACTTGCCCATCTGTTTTTCAGAACTAGACTGTGCAAGTAGTCCCTGTCTGTGGCATCGGTTTGACCACTGTGCCTTTGATTATGGCTCATTCCAAACCTCCTGATTAGTGCTACAACTGTGCTGATTTTTAGTTGCTCACCAATCCTTCTGTATACTTTCCATCCTTATGAAGTCTCACAATTAAAATTTTCAATTTGTATACTGTAGTACTACTGTGATAGACCAGAGAACAGCTGTCTTGTTAGAGTATGTAAATTGTATTTCTCAACACTACACATCGCCAAGAATGCAGATTCCTGAGAGGCCAGAGACTTGGTTTGCTTATCTGTGCTTGTACAGTGAGAGTGTACTCACAGAAAAGTTTCACTTTGTGTCATTATTGCAAGTTTGACCAGTAGACTGCTCTGAGTGTTTATGTGCCCAACCAGCCAATGTACACACCGTACAGACATTAGCTGTAAGCTAGTTAGCAACACTCCCACACACAGTGCGTGTCGCTCTCCCACACAAACGAGTGTATGTGTTGGTGTTCAGCTCAGAATCTGACTGATCTCAGAACTCAGCAGGAACTCCAGTTCTCTCTGTCATGTCCCTCCAGTCCCTCTGCGTTTCATCTAGTCTCTGTATGTATATGAAGCATTTTCATAAAGCCTCAGGATAATTTGTTGTCCAAGTTGAACCATTTTCATTTGTTGCACCTTTGCCCAGTGTGTGAGCTGCAGAGGAGCCAGGGGGGAACTTGGCTCCTCTCATTAAGACATGAGCTCCCCTCTCTACAATATAGACACAGCGCTATTTTCCCCATGCATTTGTATTTTTCAACATCCTCACCATTATGAATCATGCGTAAAATTAGGCTGTTATTGATGATGATTTGATTTGTGTGCGAAGATGACTCATCTCTAATTGACTTCAGTAACGATTGTGGCGTGCCTGCTGTTCTTGCCATCACCACTGAAGTGTGCATCATAAACTTCACTCACTTAAAGTCAAATATCAGGAAAAAAAACAACAAATGTTCATAATGCCAACTGCCACAAAACAGAACAGAAGTGCTCTGGTGCTGAAAGTAGGCAGCGGCAGCTACTCTTCCTCTGTTTCTTATTATTCCTGTTCCATTTGACAGGAATAATGGTATGTAAAGGCTAAACCTTTGGAGCGTTGGAGCAGCTGCCTTTCCCTCCGTTAGTGCCACTCTGTTGCATATGTCCATTGACATTAAACCTATTTTCACCCATTTACATTCATTCGAATATATTGAATGAGGATGCAAACTCCAAGAAAAAACGTGGAACCTTGTTCAGCTTCGTGTTGCAACACAAATCTGTTGCATTTATATAGCCCAGTGTTATATACCACAAATTGGCCTCAAGGGGCTTAAAGGCCTGTGTAGCAAACAACATCTTCTGAATCAGCAAAAAGAAAGAAAAAAAAGAATGTTTAATGGGAAAAAATGGAAGGAACCTTAGTACGAGCTACTGAGGGATCGCTTTACCCGCATGAACAGACGTACAGTACGTGTCGTGTGGATTAAAAATCAACATCAGATCCAGGTGCGACCGAACCGATAGGACCTGAGCGGCTGTAGTGTTTACACAAGCTTCCCTGGATCCTATTTTATTGTCTCACCAGGAACTGAAACAATATGCCCCCTACACAATCCCCTCCATCCTTTTCAGACTGAACGCCCACTTAGCCTTCTGCGAGTGAGTAGGAGGTACAATCAATTCAAAGAATGCCTTCACAAGCATCTCTGTGCAACATCACTTAAGGTGCTTTCAGACAGTAAGCCGTTGTTGCTGCTGCTTCTATTGTTTTCAGCGTAAATACGACCGAGCTGTGTCTGCAAACACGCCTTCCCACTGCAAATTGGTTGCCCACCCAGTTAGTAGTTCTGTTGACCCTCCACCTGCACTGCCTGGGTCAACCGAAGCTAAAAATCGTTCTGTTTTGTGACTATGGCAGCCACAGAAACTGGACCAGTGGAAATTGTACAGACTTTACTGTTTTGAGTTTCTGACGAAGCCTCTTCAGCAGAAGGTTGGAGCAATAAACAGCGTTGATAAATGATTGATTATTAATTAGCAAAACGCTCATCAGGTTTGAAAGGGACACTGGACCTTAAAAAGTCCCCAAATGGCACCATTTATAAGAGCCAGAAGCTATAAAAACATGGATTTTTAAAATTTTCTGATGGTTGTTGTGTTACATGACGCTTTAAAATAATTATATCTCATTAAAAACACTTAATTTTACATCTCTTTTTTTGAAAATGTATTTTAAAAAATAATTTTCACAAGAATTTATTTTTAAAAACTACAGATTCTGCAATTCTTTAACCAAGAAGCCATAAGTGCAAAAATACATGAGAAAAATTTAGAGTATTCGACTGTTTACATTTTAAATTATATATAATATATTGAGCCGTCATGTTTTTACCAGTATTTCCAACATCTATGGGCACTTGGAAAATTGTAGTGTATTGATGGTTGCATCCATTTTTGTCAAATGAATATTCAAAGCAATAGTTTTTCCATCTTTTTGCGATTCATGGCTTCATAACTGCACACTAGAAGCACAGTGGGCGAACACAGCACAGGCTTCCTGGAGGATTTGGTTCTTCTCACAGTGTCGATGGAAAACATACAAATCAATCACATCTCTTTAATAATAATAATAATGACTTTTAAAAGGTGTAGATAACAATGAATTTTCTCACACAGCCTCCCATTTTGTTTTCCTGCCATGCACTTGCAGTGTGGTCACAGATCTTTTGGCTGCGTGTAGATGTTTGTACGGACTGATGGACTGAATTTACATCCTGACATGAGGCTGCAGAAAGCATGAATTTGCATTAAGGGATGTGATATATGCAAAATTAACAATTGTGGGTGCAGAATAAGCTCTTGGTTCAGGTGCACCTCTTTGCCTCACATGGCCAGGTCTAAACATTACTGCCAAAATATATTATTGTGTTTTTGATTTTTAAATTCTCCTTCTCTTATCATTGCCTTCCATCAGTTTTAATTTTAGTTTTAGCTCTTGACTAGAGCAGCTCCCACTTTTGGGTTTATCATTCAGTAGATTTAAAACCCTGTTATTTTCTAATGAACACCTGCTTTAGGTTGAATGTACATGTTTGCTTCATGTCTTTGTCCACAGTAACCTTGAAATGTAAGTCCGCGTGCTGCAGCCTCCTTTATGCTCTGGAACAGCGAGTCCATCAGTTGCATCATTTCGATTCAATTCAGTTTCATTCCTATAGCGGCAAGTCATGTCTTCTCGAGGCATTTAGCAACTGCAGCGTGCAAAGATGACACATTCTGAACTGCAGACAAGCAACAGACTCAGAGTTGACTCTCATGGATTATCTATCTCGAGCAAGTTGAAATTCTTAGCAAATTGATTTTCATACAGTGAACCGCTGGCTGCCGGGAGATTTTCCTTTGTTCGGTTCTCTTTTGTTCACTTCTCTCTTCCTTTTTTCTCCTTTCTTCCCGTTCTGTTTAGGTAACCAAGACTATCTTTGCCATCCTGCTGGCTTTCATCATTACATGGACACCGTACAACGTCATGGTGTTGATCTCCACCTTCTGTCAGTCCTGTGTCCCTGACACAGTGTGGGCGATCGGCTACTGGCTGTGTTATGTCAACTCCACCATCAACCCAGCTTGTTATGCACTGTGCAATGCCACATTCAAAAAGACTTTCAAGAACCTGCTGCTGTGCCAGTACAAAAATATAGGTACGAGATGAGATGGAAGGAGGAGACTGAGGGTGGGATGGAAGGGGAAGGGGTGAACCACGTCGAGAACGAGGAACAAGAGGGGGAGAGGGGGAGGAAGTTTTGTTCAAAGGTGAGTGAAAAGAGGGCTGAAGGAACTGGAGAAGAGAGATTGAAGGGGATTAGTAGATGGGTGCCTTCTGAAGAGACCAGACACCTGCAGTGGATGAGCAACCGAGGTTTATTCTACAAATGAATGCCAGTCGTCCCTATTTTACTGAAAGAAGTGAGTGTAAACCAGAGATTTCTTTTACCTGCCCAGCTTCCCATAAAATGGAACAAAATACACAGTGAGTGGAAATGTGGTTTCATAAACAGGGATTAACATGAGCTGAGAAGTTAGTAGTAACTGTAAAGGGTTAGAGACAGACAGCACATGGAAATAGAGTCATGGACTGATGTTTGAACTACAGTACCAACGCTGCAGAAGTAAATTTACTAAACAGCTGTATGCAGTAGACTGTATGGATGTATCCCCTTGCGTCTCATGATGTATTAACATGAGCTGAGAAGATCCACTTTAGCCAGACGCTCAGGTTCTGATTTTTCGGAAGCTCTCACAGTGTTGAGCTCAACCTTCGGTCCTGAATCCCTGACATGGCGTGTGTGATTGGCCACTGGCTGCGTTGTGACAGCTCTCAGATTGTTACACACTGTGCGGCATCACGTTCAAAAAGACATTCAAGGCTTTGCTGCTGTGCAGAGCACGAGATGAGATGGAGGGAGGAGACTTAGGGTGGAGGAAAGTGTGAACCAGTGGGAGAGAGAGGAACTATTTTGGAAAGAGGAAGGAACTAAGTGAGAGAACTGGATGAGTTTTGTAGAAGGGTGCCCGAAAGGAGATGAGGTTCATCTACAGGAGATGAGAAACCAGTGTTGATGTGCCCAGCCTCACCTAAGATGGAACAAATTGCCTCGTTTCTATCGGATGTGTTTCCGGTAAAAGCCGCAGGAGTTCAGGAATAGCTTCATCACCCATTAATGCTGTGTCACCGCCATGGTAAGCATAACCATGGTTACAGCTATAATTGCAGCTCCACGCTGTCACAATCACAGACAGAGAGAACCCTGTTAACGAACCACCACTGGTTATCTTAAATCTATTATCTGTAATAACACAGCCTGAGCCAGCTGCAGCACAGTGTCCACGCAGCTGACTGATAAAACAAGAGGGGCAGGCTGATCACTAGTTAGGAAATCTCCAGGAGAGGAGGGATGAGAAACAAACTGAACAAGAGGCAAACAGACAGGTGACATGTTGGAGGTCTGAGGAAATGGTTGGAGCAGTGCAAGGAGTGAAAATGGAGGTTTTTTTAAGTAGCACAACACACACTGTCACGACCACGTTGAGGAGCAGATAAGCTGAGAGAGCGCTTCTAAACATTCAGCTCCCCAACACCTCAGTGAGTGTTGTTGGGGATGGTTTTCCAAAGTAAATCACATGCGTTTATGTAGTTTTAATTTATAAGCTTGCAGATAATAGGTTGATAGATCAACCATCACTGTCTTGTTTTGAGTAGTGTTGATTTGCATCGGGCCTTCATGTCATAGGGGAGATGGAGGTAGTAGCTCTGTCTGTTTTCAGTTTAAAGTATGAACCCCAAAACTCACAGGTAGGTTTTAGGTAAATTTTCTTTAAAATAAAATAAATAAATACAAAATCACCAAATTGTAAATGAACCAACTAAGCATTAAGTTAATCAAAAACACTTTTTTTTTATTACATCTCACTTAATCTTTCAACAAAAAAAAACTATCTGAGAATCTGTGCTCATCTGCATCAAGAGGAGACAAGTGTGAAAATGAATTAGATTGAGAGAAAAATAAAACGTACCTAATCAATAAAGTAAATGCATCATGGCTCAGAAGTATACAGAGCAGCAAGATGTTGGAGGATACACGCAGCATGGTGAAACATCCCAAAAAGTAGTGACATGTCTATAACCTGTACAGCCCCAATTCTTCACAGTATTGGTAACACATAGGGGAAGAAAAATGTTTAACATGTTAATCCAGTTTTTTTTTAAATTGTAAAATAATCGAGTAAATGCAACATCTATATTGTTCTGCTGCACAAAAGACAAAAGACATTTCTCCTTGTTCTGTTTACTTAGAGGAGCAGGATTTCATAAAAATGAGCCCACAGTGAGTAAAAGTGGTTCAGAAACTTGAGGTTGAGAGGGTTAAGCTATAATTTAATTTCATTTAGTGTTTGATATTTGATAAACCAAGTTTGTGGCAACGTATCCAGTAGTTGTAGACATATGTATTTAGACTCAAATACCAATCCACTTCTGTCATTCATGTACAGCAAAAACATGATCTTATTTTGTTAATTGTAATTTCCCTCCTAAAGCACTTGTCAGTCTTTTAATGTTTCTGCACATGCCAAGTGCAAAACAGAAGATAAACAGGAGCAGAGCTGCAGTTTAACTGCTTTTTAACATCTTCTCGATTGGTGGTTAAACTTGGAAAAGATCAGTTGGGATTTTTTTGTTAGTTTTTTTGTTAATTGAGGCAAGCTAAAAGTGGCATATTTGAAGAAAAGCAAAAGAAAAATGTGATTCTGAGGCAGATGGAAGGTGTGACCTGTGAAGTGGAGGGAAAAAAGGCATGTAATCCTGCTGTTCTGTGCTGCCGGTGTACTTGTTTTCTGTGTTTGGGTCTGTTCAGGCCCTTCCTCGCAGTTTAATCGCATCAGATTCACTTATCGTGTCCTGTTTATTGGATCTGTGAGAATCTCTACTGTTGTTTCTTATCACGCAGTTATAGCGAGCGGTATTAAATGTTGTTGTAGACGGTGAGCTAATCTTTCAGCTGTGCAGCTGAAATCAATGAGTTTCCCTCCAAATGAATTTCTGACAACTGGGCTACACAACCCACCTCGCAGCTTCTAGCTTCAACACTGATCCCAGATTTGTATTTTGTACGTGCACCTGCCGCCGAAACACGCAAATCCATCCAAACAGACATTCTTCAGGATTAACACTTAACTCGTACGCTTCTCTACGACTCGCACCTGTTTAACGGAGATTAAACAACATGCATGTTTAGGAGGCAGTGCAGTGTGCAGAAGGAAAGGAAGGAGGGAACGAAGCAATGACAAGAGGCAGGAGGGAGAAAATGGAGTACAGGTGAAGAAAAAAGAAAACATCTGGAGAGGAAATGACAGAGAGAGGGAGAGACTAGAAGGAAGGGGGATGAGGGAATTAGGGAAAGTGATGATGAGCTTGTGGAAGAAAAGTAGGGCACGATGGGAGGAGAATAGAGGAAGTACAGGAATCCCTCATTTAGTCCTGATCTCCCATCCCTAATGCTCGTGCTGGAAATGTAGGAAGAATGACAATTACACAGGCAGGCTAAAAGCTCATCGAAAATCAGGATATCAGAATAAAAGCTTGTCCTTCACAACCATCTTATTAGCATAAAGGCTGCTTTAGTTGTTAGTGACTGTTCATTTGGCGCAGCGACACTGCTCTCTTTCAGGACTCTCACTTGTGAGTGATAATGAAATCTGTTTGTTATCCAGTCATTTCTATTAATGAAGAAGGGATCTCAGGTCAGAATTTTGTGCCGGCTTTAGGTTTTCTAAGGACGCAGGCATTATTCATACCCAACAAGGATTTGTACTGGGCCACTTCCAAATACAGTTATCCAATCTGAGCAGCGAAATGTCTCCTAGTCAGCCAAAGTGTTAGAAATCCTCCATGGCTCAGCAGGACTCGGGTCGGGTTTCCGTCTACTTATAATGTGACTGTCTCAGCTTAGCATAGCTCAGGAACTTGTCAAGACCTTGTCAAGCATCTATAGCTCACACTGAAGAGAAAAAAAAAAAAGGATGCAGAAAGCAAATAATGACATCCTGTTCATGCGTTTTGGGGGCTGAGCAGCAGTGAGGAAAACGTGCTGCTTTCTTCTTTTATCAAACCTCACAAAGTCCTCGGTGAGTGTGATGTGGCCCAGCTGTGGTCTTCCTGCTTTTCAGTCACCCACGCACAAAAAAATGTTGTCAAAACATTTAGTTTTCTATTAAATCAGACTCGACAAGGTCTTTTGGGTGTTTTCATTTGGACTGAAATGATGGATTTGTCCAAGTCTGAAAGGCTGCTTTTGGCATCTGTCAACTGAGTTTTTAGAGTTTGTTTTTTTTTGTTTTTTTTTTGAGAGTTACACCGTTTAAGTTTGATCCGTTTGACCCTGTTCACCCCTAAAGTGTTACTGATACATATCGATCTCATAGATATGGGTCAGTAGGCCGGTTGTTTACCTTGTCGTGGACTCAGTAGTCCACAATTTTTCATTTACTGAGTCAACTAAAGTCCTTATTTGAAGGCTTGAGAGGCGGAGGTCAGGTCTTGTTTTGAATTTTGGCTTTTCCTTGCCTGGTTTTACTCATTTTTGTTTCAGTTCAGGCACTGAAACTACTTAGTTAGGTTTAGAAAAGGATCATGCTTTGGGTTAAAATACACTCTTTCCAGCTTCGGAGACCCCACTGCACTGTGACAGCTTGTTACTAGACTTCACTAGGAACCAGAACCATTTAAATTAAGCCTAATGAACTACAGGAAATAGCTGAGGAGTCCTACCGACTTCAGCTCTGTTCATTAAAGTGGGATTTTCGAGCTGTTTGACTCGGCCTGCTGTTGGACTTTTTTCCTTAACTGGTAACTTTTAATAGGAGATTGTTATTGTCAGTGAGGTACTTTTACCAGTTATGTCACACGTACACGCCTGTGAACTAAAGCGGAGACGTTAACCAGCACTCCCAAGAGGCGTTTAACATCCAGTCAGTTAGCAGAACACCCTGTTGAAAAAAGTGACACTACAACCTGCAGCCTACATCAACGCAGTTTATGATTCTGGGTAAGTTTGGCCCTATTTGAAGTGAGTACTGTAGTATTTTTACATCTACCTGCTATAACATAGAGGTATGTAATTGTTAGTGTCTTGTGTTTCTCTGTTAAGTTGGTCA